CGATGCTGATACTGCCGTCTATCTCAATTTTGTCACAAGCGACAGTGACAGACAGTCTGTAAGCGACAGTGACGGACAGTCTGTAAGCGACAGTGACAGACAGTCTGTAAGCGACAGTAACAGACAGTCTGTAAGGGACAGTGGCGGGCAGTCTGTAAGCGACAGTGATGGACAGTCAGTAAGGGACAGTGACGGACAGTCTGTAAGCGACAGTGACGGACAGTCTGTAAGCGACAGTGACGGACAGTCTGCAAGCAACAGTGACGGACAGTCTGTAAGCGACAGTGACAGACAGTCTGTAAGGGACAGTGAGGGACAGTCTGTAAGCGACAGTGACAGACAGTCTGTGAGGGACAGTGAGGGACAGTCTGTAAGGGACAGTGACGGACAGTCTGCAAGGGACAGTGACAGTCAGTCTGTAAGGGACAGTGACGGACAGTCTGTAAGAGAAAGTGACGGACAGTCTGTAAGCGACAGTGACAGACAGTCTGTAAGGGACAGTGACGGACAGTCTGTAAGCGACAGTGATGGACAGTCTGTAAGTGACAGTGATGGACAGTCAGTAAGGGACAGTGACGGACAGTCTGTAAGCGACAGTGATGGACGGTCTGTAAGCGACAGTGACGGACAGTCAGTAAGGGACAGAGATGGACAGTCTGTAAGGGACAGTGAGAGACAGTCTGTAAGGGACAGTGACGGACAGTCTGTAAGCGACAGTGATGGACAGTCTGTAAGCGACAGTGATGGACAGTCAGTAAGGGACAGTGACGGACAGTCTGTAAGCGACAGTGATGGACGGTCTGTAAGCGACAGTGAGGGACAGTCTGTAAGCGACAGTGACAGACAGTCATTAAGGGACAGAGATGGACAGTCTGTAAGGGACAGTGAGAGACAGTCTGTAAGGGACAGTGACGGACAGTCTGTAAGCGACAGTGATGGACAGTCTGTAAGCGACAGTGATGGACAGTCAGTAAGGGACAGTGACGGACAGTCTGTAAGCGACAGTGATGGACGGTCTGTAAGCGACAGTGAGGGACAGTCTGTAAGCGACAGTGACAGACAGTCATTAAGGGACAGAGATGGACAGTCTGTAAGGGACAGTGAGAGACAGTCTGTAAGGGACAGTGACGGACAGTCTGTAAGCGACAGTGACGGACAGTCTGTGTGATTTTCGTTGGCACAGGAACGGAGCAACTATGGGCTAATGTGTTTGCTGCAATGTGAGAGCTGCCAATTTAGCTAATTTGATCTGAACAATAACAGATAGAACACAATAAAATAAAGGGAGTTAGCGATATAGTCAGTATTCCAGCAAACCAAATCGCGTTAGACTCTTTATTACCTTTCATGATCTGATCAAAATTGACGTCATCCACGCTGTTGCCACGCCCACTGTCACCAGTCGACGTATCCCCTGATGTGTCGCTCGTGATGTCATCGCCCTATAAGATCAAAACAAAGATAATGTTAGCATAGAAATTAATACTAACTAGAGCTTTATTCTGATTATACGCAATGGTAACGGAATTTTTAAAGTTACGTTAGTTGAGTTTCCTTTACAGGGCGTTGCAGAACCATTGTGGTGTTTTTTCTATGTACAATTTACATCAATAGTTTGCCATTGCTATGTGAACTGTAGGCTTTTGAATCCACGGTGGAAACCAACGCAACACAGTCTGCTGCTGCCCAACCGCCTGCACCTGGGATGATCGAACCCGGAACCTTCGCATTACGAAGCAGGTTCGCAACGCCTAAGCACAACTTTTCTTTAGCGCTACTTATACTCTGGACGAAAGTTCTGGTTGTTCGTTCACTTCTGGCCTTTGGTCTTGTTCGAGAACACGAATTTAATGTTGCGTGCATATGCACAGTACTGGAATATTTGCATGCAGACTGTTGGTGGACGATGTACTTCGGCTTCGACGGAGAGAGTTGACTTCTGTTGACTTTAACTAGCATTTTTTTCATAAACATTTCTCTATTGGGGAGTCAAGATTTTACCCTTTCTGCCCAATTAGCAAAATTACAATTCAGTTAAAAGGTTCTGTTGTCTTGTTGCCTTGAGGACTTCCCATTTGAATTCCCTGCCAGGGGTGAGTTTAAAAGAATAGTTTTAATTTGATGTATTGCTGCTTATTCCTCTGAATGAATTCCACAGGTTAAATTCTGAAATTTAATGCCCACATGGCTCAAAAAACTATGATAAATTTCTTTATCCTTACTAACCACGTTTATGATCTAGTATGTACATGTATGCAAACATATTATCTATTTGATGATTGAATTAATGTTTATTTGCTACTAGAAACGTGCATTGGTATTTTTAATAATTATACTTATATTAATTAAGTGATAATTATGTCCTCATGTGAAATCTCAGCCAGTTCCTGTTTCCAGCTTAGACAATTAAAAATAGGAATGAAGTGTATATTCATTATACCTAATCCCTTCTAAGTTGATTTTACCTCATGGTGATATTAGCTTAATAAATCACTGTCTTGTTTTAATTTAGATTTAGTCCAGATAATTCTGAGACTAGTTTAAGAGCTTGGAAAGTGAATAACACAGTGAGGCTGAATTTAATATTAACACTGTCAGAAAAGAAGAAGAAAGATGTATGGCCCATGCTTGTAATTATTATTGTTGTAGATATATTTCCCTATTACTAGGAATACATTTCAGTTCTACAGCAGGTGGCCTTACAAATGTAATAATTATATTTCACCCCTCACCACTTCTAAACTCTGCTGAATAAGATTAGCACATGTGTGGATTTAGATTTAAACTGGAGTGAGTGTTGTATATTTTATGTTAATACTGTGACAGATGGAAAGCCCATTGTCATCTATGATTGTATTTTGATATCTATCCCAGCACCCAGTATATTGATGGAGATATGTCAATCCCATTTGTTTTCAAACAGTGCAAAGCACCTGTTATGAGTTCCTGGTCTTGGTAAACTCACTCCCTGTTTCTCATTCTTTGTGACGTGAACCCATGTGGTTAAAATGAGAATATTGTGAAATATGACTGTATATGTCTGTGTGTGTAAGCATGTTAACCCTTTAAAGGAGTACTAGTGTGCAGACATCAGAACAATTTACACTGAGGAATGCCTTTTCTTTTTGTGTGATGTAATCTCTTGTTCTTGAGAGCTTTCATGAAACTGGTTTCCTAAATATTTCCCCATCAGGATTATGGACCATGTTCTGTATACATTCCCATTCTATACCAGTAGAATGTGAACACCTGTTACTATCCTACTCCATATATATGTGTGTAGTGTAACAGTTTAAAGACATGAGGTAATTGTTGTCTCCAGTTAGAACCTTCCTGACTGTTTGTATAAGGACTGTTCTATTGTTCTAGTTCCAGATGGTACAGGTGGGAGCTCCAGATGTAAATCCTAAGCTTAGCTGCAGATACCCGATTGTCTGGACTGGACCGGAAGATTCGGCCTGCCCGATGTGTCACCAAGGCTTAGCCAGAAGCTGACCTAAGCTACAGCTAAGATTTAACTAACCTACCTGGAATAACAGGATTTTATATCCACAGCCATTTTATTTAGTTATCAGTTGAATTTATATTGAATTGAAAATCCTAATAAATGTAGTTTTAATGTTCTTACAGTTTTCTGAAGTTTCATTTTAACTGTAAGTGTGTCAGTGAACAAAAGCTAGTATAACTTTAATACATTTAAATATACAATTAATTACAGTAGGGAATAAGATGTGGGCAAACCCCGAATCCTCTCATTTAACCAGCAAGGCTGGGGTTACTATAAGACCTTATAATGTTTCACTGTTTGTAGTTCCCTCTGTAAAGTGCACATAGTGCATTCGCTAGTGTAAAGCGAAGTTACCCGCCACAGAAGGGAGTCTATCCATGCCCCCCTCAGGATGGGATATCTGGACGGACTCGAGGATTAAACGCGCACTAAAATCGAATGCTTTATCCGGTAAACCAAAATGACAGTATATAAAACAATGATAAGCCTAGTTATGCTACGTTACTGTGAAAGCTGAAATATAAATGACAGAGATACATAAATCAATCCATTATTCTGTGACTGAGACGCCTATCGGGGGTCGGGGAGGACAGACAGAAACATTCTTATCGTTTTAAGAACAGCCTTTATCACAACCTGTCGATAAAAGGTGCTAAAGATACGTCTGCTTGTTCCTGGGTCTGCTCACCCCTCCCCCTTTTATTATTCGCGCCTTTGGTAAGCTTCGTAGTCACATTAAAGTGGATTGATTTAACGATACTAACTTGACTGCAGTCATTCCTTATTGTACAAATTTGAGACCAGTCTTACGACGAATTTTTACACACATTAATGATGACAGTAGCGGAGATATGGGTGAGAAATTAAAAGAAAATTTATAATTTTTTAAAAATCATTTCTAATTATTGACATCACGAGTGCTAAAAAACAATAATGCCTGGGGTATATAAAGATAATGCCACATATTTAAAGCAATGTTTTCCTGTGGTAAATGTAAATAATGGGGACATAAACCATAAATAACAATGTATTGAGAGAGAGAGAGAGAGAGAGAGAGAGAGAGAGAGAGAGAGAGAGAGAGAGAGAGAGAGAGAGACCACGCGGTGTATATTTCAGAGAGTTAATTCAGTTTGTGTTCTTCATCATATATGGATGTCACTCTGTAGCACCACCGACTCTAGGATAAACCCTACAGGAGGCCATGCTTTGTAGTGAGTGAGGCACCTGATGATATACCGCGAAATATGCCTGGCAACAAATTGTGCAATGGCATGTTTGTATTGCAGATGACAGACTCCGCTCCCCCTTATCACACATCAAAAGAAAACTGTATACAGTTAAGAGATAGATAGGATAGACCACAGGGAAGAGTAAGAAGAAGATGATAAGATTAACATCTAGGTAGACCGACAAACACTTGCAGTCACCACATGGAAAGAGAAGACTACCCATGGAGATGCATGGAGGCAGGTGTTATCTGCAGCCATGACACTCAAAGCTTTCGAATTCTGAAAAAAGAAGAATGATAAGACCTTACACTGACACCCCTTACCTCTTCGGGCAGGGAAGATCCCCGCAAGGAAGCGTTCTCGTCACTAGAACACATCATGGAGGAGTCACCGCATTCTGATAGAGACTGCTGGAGATCGTTTCTGGCAATGATGTAGTGAGACTCCGGCGAGACCATGTCTGATTTGCTAACGGTGAAGCTGACAGATTTTCCTTTCGGGAGATCTGAACCGTCATCCTTGACCTGAACACAGATGAGATCGCTTGAGATGACACCCTTCTCCTGCATCGATGAAGATGACACATTCCTAAAGTTGTACGGTGTCTGGTTTGGCCCCCTTTTAGTTTCAGACAAAATAGGAGTTACTTTCTCACTGCTGTTTACGTTTCCATGGATACCAATATGTGTCAATACATGTTCCGGGCCGTGTTTGGTCTCCTTATTTTTGTCCTTTTGAAATAAGATGCAAATGGCGACGATGATAAGTGTTGAGAATACTACCGTTACAGCAGCGATAACTGCCACGATGATAATATAGTCGTCTTTGCTTTCTTTGTCTTGTCTGGCAAGTTCTTGTGTTATGTTGTTGAAGGACACATCTATCTTAATGTTGGCTGTTGTGAATTTCGGAGGAAGTCCTCTGTCTGAGACCAGGACACCAATGTCATACTTTTTATTGTTTTTCAGGCGAGAACCTTGGGCGACTTTTATTTCCCCCATTGTTTCTGAAATTTCAAAAGCTGCATCGTCATTTCCGGAAACGAGTGTGAATTTCAAGACTCCGTTGTCGTCAGCGTCGTCATCATATGCAATGATTCTACTGAGGATAACACCTTTTTCCGGAACGCTAGAAATGAGAACTGTGTAGTTTTGCGATTTTGGAAACAAAATGGCCGGCGCGTTGTCGTTTACGTCTAGAACTTCTATGACCACACTTGCTCTGGACATTAGAGACGGGGTTCCATTGTCTTTGACCATCACAGAAAATGTGTAGTTGCTTTTCTTTTCCCTGTCTAATTTTGTGGTCACGACTACTGATCCATTTGTGAGTACTGTAAAGGCACGATCTGACCCATCCAAGGATCCGGTGAAGACATACTGGAGCTGGCTGTTGATCCCTACATCCGGGTCATTAGCTACGAGGTGTGCAATAACCTTGTTCTCTTCTACATCTTCCTGAACTTGAAAAACCATAACTTTCTTCTGGAATTCTGGAATGTTATCGTTAATATCTTCTAAAGTGATAACAACCTCCGCCCAGCTTTGCTTGGGCTGGTTTCCTTGGTCAGTGGCGGTAATGTTAAATGTTATGGTCGGGTGTGCTTCTCTGTCTAGATCACCGACAGCTGTTAGAACTCCGGTCAGCTGGTCGATGTGGAAGTACTGGGTATAGTTGGACTGAAGGCTGTACCGAACTGCACCATTAAGTCCAATGTCTGCGTCGCTGGCACTGACTTGCAGAACGTACTCTCCATTCTTCTTTCCTTCTGACATGGTTCTGGAGTAGCGCTGTTGGCCACAGACCGGAGCATTATCGTTCGCATCCTCGACATTCACCCTAACGGAAATTGTATTATTCAGAGGCTGGTCGCCAGTTTCCTCGCACGTCACGTTTAAATTATAGAATGCAACCTTTTCACGGTCGACTGAACTTTGAAGAACAATCTTATATCCTTTATTCGCCACGGGTACCAGCATAAAAACATCACTTTTGATATGGCAAACAACATCGTCAGCACTATCATCATCTACTACAACAAAGGCAACAAAAAGGCCTCGACCGCCTGGTTCTAAGACAGATACAACATTTTGATCAAAAGTGTTTCCTAAAGTGGCGATGGATATTTTGGGAGGGGAATTCCCCGTATTGTTAACGTTAATAGTAACGACTGTCTGAGTTTTCAGCCTGGGACTTCCCGAATCTTGAGCCTCCACGATGAACTCATACTTTCCGGGACGTAAGGGCCCCGCCACGGAAATCTCACCTGTGGTGGAGTTGATGAGGAAAACCTTTTCCATCACTGGCTTCTGGAATTTTGTAAAGTCATAGGTGAGCAGCGCATTATCACCCTCGTCAACATCAGTTGCTGATACCTGAAGAACGACGTGGTTCGGTAACGTACGGCTGTCAATAGTGACACTGTAGTTTGAGCTCAAGAACTGAGGTTCGTTGTCATTTTGATCCGTGACAGTAACAGTGATAAGAAGAGTCGAAGATCTGGGAGTCGGTCCCCCGTCGAAAGCTGTGATTGTTAACTCGTATGTATCCTGGATCTCTCGGTCTAGTGTCTTTTTTAGTCGAAGATGTATCTCCGAGCTGCCGTCGAGGGACTGATGAGCCGAGAGAGAAAAAATATCTTGTGAAGCTTGTAGGGTATAGTTCTTCACTTTGTACTCGGCTGTAAAATCCCTGTCATTGGCACCATGGATTTTCAGAACAGTATCTTGAGGTCGCCCTTCTGGTACTTCAAGAACCAGTGAACTTTTTTCGAATGTAGGAGAGTTGTCGTTTATATCGACGATTTTAAAATGTACAGTGATGACCCGAGAATCGAACTGTGAAGAATTCTGCGCTGAAGCCAAAATGTTCACTTTCATGATACAGTTCTCCACAGTAAAGCAGATCGACTCTCTATCAATACGTCTAGCCACAGAGATGAGCCCACCTTGTCGGGTGATGTTAAAAAGCGAGCTGGATACATCCCCTTGATCGAGAATGCCGTACTGTAGAGACTTTCTCTCCTCTTTCGACAAATCCGGAAATACATTTTCCACTTCCTGTAGATTGCCAACCCTTGTGGAGACGGCCAGTTCTTCGTTGATTGTAAACTCCACATCCGGTTTCTGAGAAAGAACAAGAGCTGCCAATCCAAAAATTGCTAGAACCATCCAGACACATCGCCCCATTATGTTGTTTTTTACGGTTGTCATTTCTCTGAGTTTAAATTGGATCCGAAAGAACAATGTTGTATACAGTCAGCGCTAAATCAGACGTTCGCTTGTTCTCCACAATATATCTACTCCATAGAAACTCTCGGACAACTGGGAAGGATTTCACAAATCATATTGAAACATTACAGTTGAAATCATTGCCACATATAGATGCGCTCAGGTTGAAAACTTCGTTTGGGATATTTCCTTTTGGGGGTGAAAACTAGACCAAACCGTCTAATATACCCCAAATACTTAGTGGTTTTTATTAAAGTGTATTTGATTCACAGTAAAACCACCAATTCAGTAATAGTTTATGTATAAAAGAGTCTGAATTTGAAAGTAAAATCACTTATAACGTTTGAATTTATCTGTACAATCACTGAAAATGTTTGCAATTGTCATTAAAATCACCAAAAAACTGCAACTGATACATGTACTAGGGATTACAGAACTATACTTTCTCCTTCAAGTGCCCAAGAGAGTTAAAAAGGGAATGGGGGCAATTTCTTGTTCTATAAACCAACTTTCACCAAGAGTAACCTATCTTGAAATTCTCGATTTTGCCAGGTTTCCCTAGATGGCCGTTTAGAAGTCGAATTCCCCACTTCAATGCAGCAATTTACAGGCTCTGAAACAGACCCGTTAAGGTGTAACGAGGCTTGTAAACCCTTTGTTAAAATGTCACTACCTGGCCTCGCTGACACCGTTACTACCCCGTGCCTTATTTGTTTTTCATCAACATTCTCCAGGCAAATCACCTGACGCTCCTGTGCCTACAGGTAAGATAGATACCTGTTTTCACCTGCGAAGTGTTTCTCTCACCTGATGAAACAGTTTAATGCTATAGTATTGTGTTCTGTAACTCCGAACAATGTATATTTACATTCAGCGTTAGCACAGCTTGGATACTTTTAGCAACCTTACGCCTGATTGCTAAAAGGTGCTTTGTCTCTGACTAGGATTTTTGCATGCGACTTTCTTGCCAAAATGTCTCTCACTGTTCTCGATAATTGGACCGCCCTGATTGTAATTTGAACTGCATATAAAATTAAACTGTGGTAATTCGACGGCTTCACTGTCGCCCCAAGATGATAATCAGGAAACTAGATTAAAGTTAGAGAAACTACTGTAATATGTAGAGTCCTGGAAATATTACTTTTGACTCAAAGGCGTTGCCGGTAAAATTGACAGTTTCCTTGAGTTTATGTGGATCCTTGATAGCAGATTGGTGATAAACTCGGGGAAAACAAACAACGGGTTGTGATACTTTCAAGCGTTAGAGAGGAAGCTGATGAGTATGCGCTGGTTGTTGAAAATAAAAGTGTGTTTGGTTTCCAAGATTCTTGATGAGGAAGCCCAAAAATATATGGATCGAGTTGCGCGTGGGCAAAATAATTCCAAGCGTGATGAAAGGGTTAATCTAAGGACGTTCACATCCCAGTCTTAGTTACACCATGGAGACTCACAGATGCACCTGTAATAGGAACATGATAGTCTTAATAATAATAATAATAATAAATAAATAAATAATAATATTTTATTCTTACTGTTTATAGTAGGGGTAGCTGCAGTAGAGATAGTCGATGTGATAGTAGCAATAGCAGCAAAACATCAGTAATAGTTGTAGCAGCAGTTAGTAGTAGTAGCAGTAGCAGCAGTAGAAGCAGCAGCAGCTATAGCAGCAGCAGCAGCAGGCAGCAGCTAATAAAAATGGGACTAGTTAGGAATTAGAAAAAGAAGAAAATTCTCAAGGCGAAATTCCTTACATGATCTACGCTGAAGGTAGAGACTTCATCCTTTGTGAAATTATTTTGGCACGTAGTCAGTCCTTTTTGGGAGAGTAACTGACCAAAGCATAACGTCTTGATTGTGGCCTTTGTCGGAAGAAGTTCACAACAAACTGTAATCTCTGAAGAAGAAAAAGTCATCGCGACCCAGGAATTCCAGATTCCTCAATGGGAAATTCCAATCTGACGTTAAGAACGTAACAATAGCCCTAAATCCGCAACAAAATAGACAGACGGAAAGCAGACAATGAAAGAAGGACATCTGATTTCTCTTGACATTTATGTTTGTTCCACTAGACTGTATCATTCGACTGTTTGTTCACTCAAGTCGCCCGCTGGACTTACACTAGCACTTCTACCTTCCATGTCACGTTTGTCCGAATGACCACTGGTCACTGAAGACTGGAATGGTCAAGCTGACGGGTTTCTTTTTCGTGTTGGGTAGGTAAACATTAATTTAAAATTAACACCTGGGTCTGGTTATTGTTGGGTTCGGCTTGTGTGACTGGGGTCTTGATTTCGTGCTTGATGTCCCTTTATTGCCATTGTAGACAAACGTTCTGGTTCGGTTGAAAAAATGTGATTGGTGGCAGAGAGAGAGAGAGAGAGAGAGAGAGAGGGAGAGAGAGAGAGAGAGAGAGAGAGAGAGAGAGAGAGTGTGTTTGGGGAGAGAGATCAAAAGAATGAAGTAGACGGAGAGGATGAAGCGGAAAAAGGAGAGAATTAAGGAGCGGTGTGTGTGTGTGTGTGTGTGTGTGTGTGTGTGTGTGTGTTCGGGGAGAGAGATCAAGCTGATAAAGTGGACGGAGAGGATGAAGCGGAAGAAGGATTAAGGAGCGGTGTGTGGTGTGTAAAAGGAGAGCACAAAAAGGTGGGGAGAGGGGGGAGGTGAACGGAGAGAAGGAGTAGATATAGGCATGTGTATGTGTGAAAGAGCGTGTGTAAGAAGGGAGACAGAAATAAAGAGAGAAGAGAAGGGTGAGGGAGAGAAGGGAAATGCTAGAGGCGTGTCTATAAGTGTACAGACAGACAGACAGACAGACAGAACGAACGAACTTTATTTTCGAAGGGTCACAAATTAGGCATGCAGGCCCGTGTTTGTGTTAGCGAGGAGGAAAAGAGGGTGGGGGATGAACGGAGAGTTAAAGAGCATGTGTGTGTAGGGAGGCAGAAAAAAGAACCGAACGAACGAAAAAACGTTATTTATAAAGGCACGCAGGCCTGTCTAACATTTATGCCCTTCGTGTTTTCCCTCCATTCTTACATCATTTAATTCACACATAAAGTAATATTATACATTATCAATAGCACCAAAGACATTCAAGGCAAACACTGGAATGTCTTTCATTTCTAACTACCGTAAACCATAGTAGTTTCAATAAATGTAAGAAAATGTGTGCCATTTCTATTCCTATTCCAGTTGTCCAACAAAAATTCCAATCTTGATCCTTTTTCAACTGCCCGGAGGCCTGCTATATAAAGGAAGGTTCCTTGGCTGTCTTATTTGGTTTCGTTTTGTGTGTGTGTGTACTCACACCTGATATTCGCCATTTCTAAATTATTTTTGATCTTCTATGGGGGCATGTGATCTGTGCTCAAATAATATTCGATCAGTTTCCGATTGTATGTATAGGGACTGGTAGTATTTTTGATTTGTTGTGAAACTGAGCTGCGGAGTACGTCAAAATTGTTTTGTAAAGGTCTATCCTTTGTTTCTTTCTTCTTCTTCTGCTTTTCTATCCCCCGATGGAGCATAGGCCTTCAACCACCACGCCAAGTCGTTCTATCCTTTGCCATTACATGTCCTCCCCGTCTTTCTAACTTCATTCTCCAGCTCTTTTCTTATCCTAGGTTTAGAGATGTGTAATATGTTTAGGCGTCTACTGTGCCGGCCATAAGTAACCTGGAGCCTTTTGGGATAGTATTCTGTGAATAAATTTGGCCTTATTGAAAAGTAGACGTTGACGAAGCTGTAGTAGCATAAGACCTGAATATGTTTCGGAACTCACTGTCCCTTGATAATTATTATAAGGCGAATGGCGCGCTTTTGCAGTGACCTAAGCCTTTTGTTAAGAGAATTGGAACAAACATCCCATATTGTAGAGCAATAGTCTATATATGTCTGGATGTGAGAAATATAGAATATCTTTCTTGTGTTTTCATCAAGAAAGTTTTTAATTTTTGCAAGTTGGTGAACCTTCTAGCTGTTTGCTTCACAAGTGCTTGTACATAAGAGATGAAGGTTAGATTTGCATCAATGACCAACCCTAGTTCTTTGTGCTCAGTTACACTTTCTAAGCTCTCTGTGAATTTAAACTATATAGTTTTTGTATGGTTGTTATTTGCATAGATTTTGTTTTATTTTTTATTACACTGCTCCATTTGACTGCATCGTTTAATACTTGTTGAAATAACAACTCTAGTACATTACGTGTTTAAGGGAAAAGAATTGTGAAGGAGAGAAGGGAAACGCTATAAATGGCGTGTCTGAGTGTGTGCAGACAGACAGACAGACAGACAGCTCATTCTTCTTCTCCCTCCTCCTCCTCTTCTTCTTCCTCTTCCTTTTCTTCCTTCTACTTCTTCCCTTTTCTTCTTCTTCTTCTTATTCTTCCTCTTCTTCTTCCTCTTCTTCTTCTTTTTCTTCTTCTTCTTCTTCCTTCTTCTTCTTCTTCCTTCCTCTTCTTCTTTTTCTTCTTCTTCTTAGCGTTCATTGGCGGTAAACTCAAGAAGAAAGCTATGATTGTTCATCTACTTGTGGACATTAGTCTTGTTCTAGGAGCTTTGTTCTAGACGTGTTGCGTGCACGTGCGTTTTACAGATCCGGCTCACCTTCTTCTTCTTCTTCTGCCTTTCTATCCCCCAATGGAGCATAGGCCCTCAACCAACTCACGCCAAGTCGTTCTATCCTTCGCCATTACATGGAGCTCTTCCCATGTCCTCCCAATCTTTCTAACCTCATTCTCCAGCTCTCTTCTCCATGTGTTTTTTGGCCTTCCTTTATTCCTATGTCCCTGTGGGTTCCAATGCAAAGACATTCTAGTTATGCTGTTCTCCTGTTTTCTCAGTGTGTGCCCTATCCAACGCCAGCGTCTTTACCTCATCTCCTGATCCACTGAAGCCTGTTCAGTTCTCTCCCAAAGTTCTACATTAGTTATTCTATCATACTAATTTATTCCCTCTATTCTGTTCAGGCACCAGTTAATGAAT